AAATCCATATTTTGACTCCACCAAATGTAATTCTAGGTAACAGCATGGAGCAAAAATAGGGGTTTGTAGTTTAAGTAAATAATGTCTGCAGTATCTCCAGCCTTGTTTCCTTACTTTTTTACGATCCCTATTTGCAGGTTTTTAATTTCACAATTTTTTTATTTATCTTGATATTTTACGCGTGTATCACCTGTCTTCCACAAATGTGGAGCTTTCACTCGGAACAAGAAAACAACCGATTACTCAATATATTTCGCAAGGACTTTTCATAACTAATAATACCACTAAGTCGCCAGTAACCAGAAAGAATAATTACTCTTCGTTGGAGTTAATTATATTATTGCCAAAAAATCTTCGCATTTATTTATTTTTAGATCCTTATATTACAAGATGATTATTTGTAAGTAACAACAGAGTAAATTTATACTTATAAAGTAGTATCACTATGTATTAAAAATTAAAATAATAGCCTCAATACTTACATTGTATTTGTATTTCGGTATAAATAAATATACTGAGAAAAGGTTAAAACTCTTCAAATAAACACATTCAAAGAAACTAATTTTCTGTAAGAAGTAATGTCAGTTTTAACTAATCATTCTGAAAGTAAGAAACAGGTATTTTATTACAACATGAAAAAAATAAATATTTAACCTTAATAACCCTCTTGAATAAACATACTAAAAGAAACATCTTGTTAGAAGTTACTCCATTTTATTGTCGTCCTGTTTTTTATGTATTATTTGGTAAAAAATAATAATGCAAGACCCATCCACTTAACCATAACAAAAATGTTTTATTTCTTCATGTTCCACGGTTAGTGAACCCAGTGGTTCCCAAACTGTGGTTCGCGAACCCTTTGGAAGTTAGCATAATGTTTCAGGGGTTCTCGGAAAACATTCCACAATGGCGGAAGCAAAATTGTTTGCGCGCATCACATTGAGTAGATTATAACTTCAGGACTTCTCACCAGAAATGGAAAGGTGAAGGGGTTATTTTTTGCTGTTTTTAAAATTAAATGACGCCTACTGTTGTTTTTAAAATTAAGATGAAGAACAAGTTTAGGCTTAATCAAAGCGATACGAGTTACGAAAGTGAAATCTTGGAAGAGTGTTGTTGTTTTCATAATGTAATAAAAATAGAGTGTAATAAAAACGTCATAAGAAAAACATATTTCCAAGATCACTGCTTTTATAATTTATACTCAGGTAAGGGAGAAAATCCCTGGAAAATATTTATTTTTGGGAGGGGTTCGCGAGATTTGGCATTTTCATGAACAGGGCTCGCGGGATGTTAAAGTTTGGAAACTACTGGAAATGTAACCAACATTCATCGACAGGCCTACTTCATAAATATACTACGTCTAAATGAAATTTTTTTAAATACTTGTTTAATTTCGTATCTCCATTTCTTCGTGGAAATACAAACTTAATATTTGAAGCATTGAACTATTTAATTGACAGTAACAAACAGTATGACTAAATCATGCGTTGATTCTTTGCTAACCGACTGATAAACTCTGGGTTCAAATTGTTTCCTAAACTTTGAAAAAAGGCTCCAAACGTTAAACCCACGCTCGTCACGTCACTTAACTTCTATCAACAGAACAACAATACAAATTTCGAGAAGCATCTAGATTAAAAGCATAAGCTATATTCTACAACAACATTTTGTTAATCTCAGTACCTCATTCTTAAATAAATACACTGAAACAACGTGTTTTCCATCGACGTTTTCTCAGTCTTAAAAAAAGCGTCTTGATACAGTAATGTAGTAGCAAGTTTGGAAGTGCGGGAACTGCCACGATCATCCTAATCCCGCCACCCCGACAATTCCCAAAGATTATTGCATGAGATATATTATTGTAAATCAGCAGTATATCCAAGGTCAGAGAGTTTTCAGCTAATTATAAAAACTTGATTTTATATAAAGTATTGATATTAGAAAAATTACTATAGTCCAATCTACTCACATGTGAATGTATCAGAAGGCAATACGCGAAATAATTTACATTTGAAGTGTGGAGTACACCACTGGTCCTGAGAAAAAACTTTATGCCATAAACGCAATATAAATCTTAAATGGGTATACAAAAGAAAAAGTAAGGTATTTCTGTAACTTATAAGGTATTTTCAGAAATAAATAAGAATAAATCTCTAGGCATTCTTAGAATAAGGTGGAATTATGTTTGTTCTCCTGAACGACATCTTTTATACTAAATGGGCTAAACGGTCAGGTCATATATTCCTATGGCTAAAGCAAATCATCACTAATTTTGAACTGTGAAGGCAATCAGTCAGCAGTACCCGCAGTCTGAAACGCTTATTCCTACTGAATAGTGAAATTGAATGTCTCTTTATAACGCACCCACAGCTTAAAGTGAGAAGCGTGTTTAGTAGCACCATGACTCTCGGGTTCCTAGTCTGATACCTAACCACTAGGCCAAGCTCGGATGGAAGGATTATGAATTTAATAATTAGATGTAATTTCCTTACAAGTTGTTCATCATTACATACCATTTCTGTGTGATATTTGAATTGCTTCTTTTCAGTCCAGTCAGGGGTGGCGTCAGTTTCTTCCTGATGTGTGGGCTGAGGTGGGCTAAACAGAAAATTGAGGGAGCTGCACTCTTACATCCTGTGAGCACACACACTTTGGTATTTAGGAAATGAACCAGCTTTAACAGTATGCACTTTTCGCTGGGTGCAGGGGCTAAAGAGGAGGCTAAGCCACATGTTGGGGTAGCTTCAGCTCCAGCAAGTCCCCCCTTACCGCCAACCCTGGGTCTAATTGTGGGATATAAGGGTGAAACATTGCACTAGAGTATGTCCAAGGTCTGGTATGCAGAATCTGAAGGGTGCCACCTTGGCAGCTTTGGTCAAACTAAAATATTTGTATAAATCCAATATGGCCAATGAATTTCCCTATGGATCCCACTTTTAACCATATTGTCACTTTAGATAAAGTTTTCACACATTCACATGCGTATTAGTGTGATAATTAAGTGGTAGCATTGTCTCTGTAGTTTAAAACGAAAATTTATACAATTAAAAAACAAACACTTCTTTGCTAAGTGTCCAATGTGGCCGTCCATTCTAATTTTGTGTTAGGGTCCCTACAGATTCTGACTCTCCATAACACGCTAGGAAACAATAAATAACACAACTTTGGACATACCCTAGCGAAAAATGCTATCTCACGTGGAAGCTGGACTATTTATGATTACTTGGACTTCTTTAGGACTAACAAATTAATTTTGAAAACAATAGGACGATCAGGCATCGTATGGTAAAGTATTCAGGTTCTTAGGTTGTTCATGAGTATCAGACCTGATTGCAGTGATATATTATGCATACATACACGTAATTCTACTAACGATTCATTCACAATTGTATAAAATGTATTGCAATAGACCATGGCCTTAGTTCTGAAGATTGCCCAGTAATTGAATTAACATACAAAGGTGTAGAGAAAAACAAATTAAATATATCACACTCACTGCTGATTTCTCTCCACCATGTTGGTATCCATTTTTCTCTGTTGTTACAGTGTGGGTGGTGATATGAGAAGCTGGATTGAGGTCGTACCTCTGTGTGGTTACAGTGTGGGTGATGGTCTGCGAACCTGGACCGAGGTTGTATCTCTGGGTGGTTACAGAAGATTTGCTGGTTTGAGAAGTTGGGCTGAAGGGCATGTTCACAGAAGTGTAATGAGCTTCTGGGTTCGCTGCTTCGCAAGTCGGACTATCGTTGTTCAAGCTACTAGAAGCGTTCTGTAGATCAGCCAACAAAGCATCTGGAATGAGACAAATAATGATTGGACTTTAAAAACTCTGGCAAGAAATACTATGGGAAATTACGATAAGTATAAAGTATATTCAGAAGGATAATCAGTAATCTCTATGTTATAAATATATATATATACAAGTCACACAACAACAACTGAGGAGTGTTTGGTGTCCAATGACCACATTACACATTATCATCACGGTAGACCTGAAACACCACAAAAGCTGAGTTTATCAAAATTTAGTGGCGAAAGGCCGTATTATCATTGCAATAGGCTTGAAACACCATTGCAACTGAAATTTATTGGTGTTTGGTGGCCAATAGCCAAATTATCATTATAATGGGCTTGAAAACTGCAGCAACTGAGGTTTGTATTAGTTTGTATTAGAATTGACATTCTGAACAATATATCATGCAACACATAGGTTAGACGGCCACATCAGATATACCTAAGGATCAATCATACCCACCTCTAAACTAGAACTGCTGGCTGACTATACATAGACTGACCATTCAGCAGCACCCGCTTTCTATGCGGTTACTCTTAATCATACAGCTGTATTGAATACTAAACTTATAACGTACCCAGAGCTGAAAGTGCAGATCGAGCCTTAGCTCTTCCGATCTACAGCCCGGTACGTTAACTAACAGGCCACGCGCCTACCAGTAAGCTGAAACAATGTTCTAATTTTATAGAATCGTGAATAACACCAATTTATATTTCTTACTGTTTAGTTTCAATCAGACGCCTTAAATAAAGATGTTAAAACATTCATGTTTATAAATTTAAAAATAATTATTATATCCATGTCATCAAGTCTTTAAAAAATGTTAAGTTTTTATCCCTCAATTCGCACTCCAGTTGGATTTCAAATCTCTATTGTGTTTGTAAATTATTGGCAATGTTTCAAAGCAGTAAGTTATTATTTCGTGATCTTTAATTTAAGTTTTTACTGATTAAACGTGACTGTACCAAATAACAAAACGTTGGTTTTTGACAATTAAAAAAACTACAAAAAGAAAATACAGAAACGTTTCGATGCTAAATTTATAAGTGATTAGTTTATGCTCATTCACTGTTTTCTGTAGGGATAAAATGTTCTTTTTCCTAAACAATGAGCTCAAAAAATCATTCGAAAAGCCAAATGTTGTACACGAATAACCCAAAGCAGGACACGTCCAAAGTTTCTGCGCTTGTTTCATTTTGTAATTGGAACAGATGAGGTGACTGTGTACATCTGTACTGAGGTTTGTGACCCACATTTCGCTTATAATATCCTAGTTTGCTATAGCTTTTTTTTTTAACAGACTGTCTGAAAACTTTGAGGCTTGGATTACGTTTCAGTATTGTTGCGTTTACCTTTATTACAATTAATCATGTCAACCAGATTTTAATGAATTTACATGCAATAAAAGTCCGTAACTTTAATTACATTGCAGGAAAATCTACTGTTACTTTTCGACACAACTAGGTAGCTAGCATACAGTAACCTAGGAACAAGGCTATATCTACATTAGGTGGAGACGACACTAGTTCCACATTGTAAGAAACTGAAACTTTGAGAACAAGACTATATTCACACTTTAGGAAGAAGGCTAAATTCACAAATTGTGAACAAAGCCAGATTGACACTGTGAGAACAAGGTTAGATTTACACTGTGAAAAGAAGGCTAAATTCATAATGTAGGAACAAGGGTAGACTTGAACTATGAAAAAAGGGTAGATTTACACTGGGGGAACAAGGCTAGGTTCACACTGGGGGAACAAGATTAGATTTACACTGCGGGAACTAGTTCCAAACTGTGAGAACAAGACTAGTTCCAAACCGTAAGAACGATACTAGTTCTATACTGTGGGAACAAGGTTAGAGCTAAAACAATTCTGAAGCCTAGATTCAAGGCTAGTTTCACACTGTGGGAACAAGACTAGGTTCACACTGGGGGAACAAGATTAGATTTACACTGCGGGAACTAGTTTCACACTGTGGGAACAAGACTAGTTCCAAACCGTAAGAACGATACTAGTTCTATACTGTGGGAACAAAGTTAGAGCTAAAACAATTCTGAAGCCTAGATTCAAGGCTAGTTTCACACTGTGGGAACAAGACTAGTTTAACACTGTGGGACACAAGACTAGTTCCAAACCGTAAGAACGATACTAGTTCTATACTGTGGGAACAAAGTTAGAGCTAAAACAGTTCTGAAGCTTAGATTCAAGGCTGTGGGAACAAGACTAGTTTCACACTGTGGGACACAAGACTAGATTCACAATGTGGGATCATGACTAGATTTACATCGTGGGAATAAAGCTAGTTCCAAAGTAATGGGCACAAAAACAATTCTGAAGCCTAGATTCAAGGCTAGTCCCACACTCGGGGAACAACGCTAGTCTGGGTACAAAACTATAGTGGTTCTATTATCTGAGTATATGACTAAACGGTAAAATAGACGTACTCATCTGCTGTGAAAATCGGTACTTTGTCCGACTGTATAGGCAACGGTAATAATTTTCGCTTCTTCTGTTGACGTTAGAAATTATCTTGGTACAAATAAAACCTGCCATGTGTGTGTGTGTGTGTGTGTATCTTGTACAAGAATTCGATACATATCTACACAAGCTGTTGTTTCCTTAATGCAAAGGGACACAACTAGCTATAAGCATTCTTTCCACCGCGAGGAATCGAACCCCAGGTTTTAGCGTTGTAAGTCCGTAAACTTACTGCTAGCTCACCTGCGGACATTACAGAAGCAATTGCCTCATAATGTGATCAGAATGTTATGTTCAGATATATTTATTGTTTGAAAAATGATGCAAATAAATAGCTTTATAATACATTACTTTTTTTTCACATACAGAATCATATTGATATCTCTATTTTATATGTAACTGCACCACTTAGTAGTTCTGGAGAAAATTAGCAGGAGACTCTTTTTGACACTTTATAAATTACAGAAACTTTTGCTAGATTGCAACCATATATTTGTTTAGTTGGCACAAATCTATACAATAAGTAGTTTAGAGGACTGCTCTGTGTCCAAAGAATGCAGCTTCACGCTAATTGGCTGCTTAAGGGGCAGGGGAAAGGTTGAGACAATGACGACATGGTGCCACACACCAGAGATCATTACATCATAATTCACAAAGTGGAAACAGAGAGAGCTACTGTCTTAGGGAAATGGCATCAGAGGACTGGAAGTTGTCATGACACCATGACACTTGGCAACAGAAGTAACCTGTTGCCAGGTATGATGAGATAGCAGACAATTAACGGGTGAACCAAAAAAGGACTTGTATCGCTGAAGTTTCTCGGAAAGAATTTCAACGGGAAATTAACAAACGACCAAATACGTAACAATATATTAGATTTATGAAACGTGAAAGAATAATCATTTGATTTATAATGAAAGGTCTTTTTAAGATTATGAATGTCAACTCATTTTTGGTTATAAACTATGTTCGTTTTTCAAAAAATGTATTTGGTGAACTATAAAGATTAGATGGTATATTGTAATAGAATTTCTGATTTTTCAACAAATATTTAATATATATACATCTCAATCATTATAAAGTGACATGACTTTTGTCTCGTGCATATCATTACAAACTAGAAATAATATATTTTACCAAAAAGATGTACGTCTGTGTGTTACAGAATTTTCTAATTCCAGACCTTTATTTTTAATGCCATTGACCTTTTATTCTGCCAGTTTTAATAGTGGACTGGTTGTTTAACGACGTGACGATCTTTCCTGTCAATAACCATTTGTATTTCCTAAAATATCAACACCATTTGAGTTGGACCTCTTAGGCAGTATTAGCGTGAGTTCGAAATCTCTGAAAAAATAATCGTTGCAGACGTTTTGATTTATGTAAAAAATTTTACGAATTTTATTAGTATAGTGTGTTTTGTTCTTTAAGTGAATATTCTATAGAAAATCATAGAATGGTGAGTGTTGCTATTTCAAATAGTTCCTATAATGGTAAAGTGATTGATTAAACACTAAGTCATTCATTTATCATACTTATTTGTAGCAAAATGATTTACTAACGAGTTTATTAACCATTTGTTAAATTTAGAGATACGAATGTAAACAGAGCTACATACATAAATGATCAGCAGAAGAACATGTTTTAAGGCAAATGTTTTTGTTTTGGAATTTCGCGCAAAGCTACACGAGGGCTATCTGCGCTAGCCGTCCCTAATTTAGCAGTTTAAGACTAGAGGGAAGGCAGCTAGTCATCACCACCCACCGCCAACTCTTGGGCTACTCTTTTACCAACGAATAGTGGGATTGACCGTCACATTATAACGCCCCCACGGCTGAAAGGGCGAGCATGTTTGGTGGGATGCGGATTCGAACACGCGACCCTCAGATTGTGAGTCGAGCGCCTTATCCACCTGGCCATGCCGGGCAAAGGAAAATGTTATGACTAGTCTAACATGCATTATATATATATATATATATATCACTAGTTATATAGTGAAACAGCAAGCTCGTATATTAAATTATTGTATATTATTTAGAAAAATCATGAAAAATCCGTCCTTTTCAGGACAATAATAGCAAAAAGTATGTTATGCAAATTAAATATAGAAATAAAAACTATATAACTAATGAATTAGCAAAGTGTTTTATACATAAACAATGGGTAATTGTAGAAAAGGGCAATGCTATAATATTTGCCTAGCTCAAATAATGGATAAATAAAGACAGTATGTGTGATAAAAACTAACATATGTAATACAGTATGTTAAAATACTGGCTTTACTTGTAACTTTTACGACATATGATTAAATATAGAAGTAAAAACTACAATATCGATGATGTAATCACATGTTGAGATACCATATGATGAGATAATAATCATATTTGACTCAGTTCACCTAGTAACATGGCCGCCTTTGTAAAACACATGTAATGCAGACAAATATATAAATGAAAACTATAAACAAAAGTTGAGACAAGTTGAAATCTGTATGCAGTACTACGAGACTATAGTAACAT